TTGGACTCTAACCTCTTTGGACTCGGTCTTGTCTTGGACTCTAACCTCTTTGGACTCGGTCTTGTCTTGGACTCTAACCTCTTTGGACTCGGTCTTGTCTTGGACTCTAACCTCTTTGGACTCTAACCTCTTTGGACTCTAACCTCTTTGGACTCTAACCTCTTTGGACTCTAACCTCTTTGGACTCTAACCTCTTTGGACTCTAACCTCTTTGGACTCTAACCTCTTTGGACTCTAACCTCTTTGGACTCTAACCTCTTTGGACTCTAACCTCTTTGGACTCTAACCTCTTTGGACTCTAACCTCTTTGGACTCTAACCTCTTTGGACTCTAACCTCTTTGGACTCTAACCTCTTTGGACTCTAACCTCTTTGGACTCTAACCTCTTTGGACTCTAACCTCTTTGGACTCTAACCTCTTTGGACTCTAACCTCTTTGGACTCTAACCTCTTTGGACTCTAACCTCTTTGGACTCTAACCTCTTTGGACTCTAACCTCTTTGGACTCTAACCTCTTTGGACTCTAACCTCTTTGGACTCTAACCTCTTTGGACTCTAACCTCTTTGGACTCTAACCTCTTTGGACTCTAACCTCTTTGGACTCTAACCTCTTTGGACTCTAACCTCTTTGGACTCTAACCTCTTTGGACTCTAACCTCTTTGGACTCTAACCTCTTTGGACTCTAACCTCTTTGGACTCTAACCTCTTTGGACTCGGTCTTGTCTTGGACTCTAACCTCTTTGGACTTGGTCTTGACTTGGACTCGACTAGTCATGGTCTTGGACTCGACAAAGGTGGTCTTGACTACAGCCCTACACTTAAGCCAAATCAAGCAACATTTTTCAGGCACTCTTTCTTGCAGCTAGAAATGTGTATGATAGGCTATCACTAGAATTGCCTTTGACCTTATCAAATCATTGTCAACTAGCTGTGGCACGATTATATTTATTAAATTGTTTAAATACATTTTTGGATGATCAGTCAACTGGAATGGATAAAGAAAACAAAAAAGAAAGCCTAATTGGACAGAGGAGGAGAAATGCATTCTTCTTGACGAATATGGTAAAAGAAAAACAATTTTGAAATTTTGAAAAAGCAAACTAAATCCCAATGTAGGCTAACTGCGGCAAAAAAACAGAAAATGCAGTGCTATAAGCAGTTGTAACTCCGCAGGAAAAGAGTGGTTGCGATGTGTGACATAGTCAAGGTCGCCGTCTAGTTTGTTAGCTAAAATAAACATAATTGTGTTATTGTATGATAAACGGGATTAAGCGCTGAGCGCGTCCGACTTTGGCTCAGCGCCAGCCATAGCACGAAAGCACAGTTTAAACCTGGCAGTGATGTCACGTCACTGTACATTCGCTCCTTAGTGGTCAGCCCAGCTGCTGCAAAGTGTGCCAAAATCGAAATTGCTGATTAGATGTGTAGAGGAACTTATCTAGTGTTAAATTAGTGTTACGTTATCTCTCTCACGAGAATGCAGCGTAAAGTGAGTGACGTCAGTGAGTGTGTTGTCAAGCAAGGAGAGCGAGCGGTAGCAGTGTCTGTGAGGGAAAAAATAGATCACGGCCGGTCTTGGACCCCGAAACAGGAAAAGTGTAACATATCAAATTTTTATAACCTATTTAGTCAGAAACAACGTCATTCATTTGATGAATGCTCAAGTCCGATTTTATAAATTCTCGAGTCCGAGTCCAAGTATAGGCATCAGTCCGCGAGTCCAAGTCGAGTCACGAGTCCAGAGAATAAGGACTTGAGTCCAGGACTTGTGTACTCCATCACTGGTTAGGGGCAATAGCAATAATAATAATAATGCACACGAATAATATAAATAATTAATAAAATACTATAAGTCAACAAATAAATATAAATAAATGCACATTTATTTATATAGTACACATTGTTTCAAAGCCAAGTGTAATATATAAACACAATAGTAATACACTATACTGTAGTAATATAGCAATATATATGATCATGCGACACTGAAGACTGGAGTAATGCTTTGATCATCATCACTGATGTACCTGATGATATTGGAATTATGGTATATACTGTATATAATAATAATACATATATTTATTGTGCTGATTAGAATGTGTCTATATAGTACATTTAACATCTTTTATTTCACAATAGCAAATAAACAAATAAATAAATACAAGTCTGTCATGGGAATACATAAATAAATAAATAAAATAAATCCAGTTTTCCATGACACATCTCCCTTCAGTAGTGGTGTTAAGGAGTGAGTGTGTGTTTGTATATATGGAAGACGCTGAGAGATCCACCCAGCTTATGACCAGGCAAAATGAACTCAAAGCACAGTAAGTTGAGTCCAGAAGCGGCCTTAAGTAACCTTTTAGAAACAGACTGAATTTATGTCTCCAGAGCTCCTAATATCTGTGTTTATATTGGACAAACAATCTGTATCAGACCAGACAAACGTAGCCTACACGGAAACACAACACAACCAAACACACGAGACAACCAAACACACGAGAAAACCAAACACACAACACAACCAAACACACAACACAACCAAACACACGAGACAACCAAACACACAACCAAACACACGAGACAACCAAACACACGACACAACCAAACACACGACACAACCAAACACACAACACAACCAAACACACAACACAACCAAACACACAACACAACCAAACACACGACACAACCAAACACACGACACAACCAAACACACGACACAACCAAACACACGACACAACCAAACACACGACACAACCAAACACACGACACAACCAAACACACGACACAACCAAACACACAACACAACCAAACACACGACACAACCAAACACACGACACAACCAAACACACGACACAACCAAACACACGACACAACCAAACACACGACACAACCAAACACACGACACAACCAAACACACGACACAACCAAACACACGACACAACCAAACACACGACACAACCAAACACACAACACAACCAAACACACAACACAACCAAACACACAACACAACCAAACACACGACACAACCAAACACACGACACAACCAAACACACGACACAACCAAACACACGACACAACCAAACACACGACACAACCAAACACACGACACAACCAAACACACAACACAACCAAACACACGACACAACCAAACACACGACACAACCAAACACACGACACAACCAAACACACGACACAACCAAACACACGACACAACCAAACACACGAGAAAACCAAACACACAACACAACCAAACACACAACACAACCAAACACACGAGACAACCAAACACACAACCAAACACACAACACAACCAAACACACGAGACAACCAAACACACAACCAAACACACGAGACAACCAAACACACGACACAACCAAACACACGACACAACCAAACACACGACACAACCAAACACACGACACAACCAAACACACAACACAACCAAACACACGACACAACCAAACACACGACGCAACCAGACACACAACACAACCAAACACACGACACAACCAAACACACGACACAACCAAACACACGACACAACCAAACACACGACACAACCAAACACACGACACAACCAAACACACAACACAACCAAACACACGACACAACCAAACACACGACACAACCAAACACACGACACAACCAAACACACGACACAACCAAACACACGACACAACCAAACACACGAGAAAACCAAACACACAACACAACCAAACACACAACACAACCAAACACACGAGACAACCAAACACACAACCAAACACACAACACAACCAAACACACGAGACAACCAAACACACAACCAAACACACGAGACAACCAAACACACGACACAACCAAACACACGACACAACCAAACACACAACACAACCAAACACACAACACAACCAAACACACAACACAACCAAACACACAACACAACCAAACACACGACACAACCAAACACACGACACAACCAAACACACGACACAACCAAACACACGAGAAAACCAAACACACGACACAACCAAACACACGACACAACCAAACACACAACACAACCAAACACATGACACAACCAAAGACACGACACAACCAAACACACGACACAACCAAACACACGACACAACCAAACACACGACACAACCAAACACACGACACAACCAAACACACGACACAACCAAACACACGACACAACCAAACACACGACACAACCAAACACACGACACAACCAAACACACGACACAACCAGACACACGACACAACCAAACACACGACACAACCAAACACACGACACAACCAAACACACGACACAACCAAACACACGACACAACCAAACACACGACACAACCAAACACACGACACAACCAAACACACGACACAACCAAACAACCAAACACACAACACAACCAAACACACGACACAACCAAACACACGACACAACCAAACACACGACACAACCAAACACACGACACAACCAAACACACGACACAACCAAACACACGACACAACCAAACACACGACACAACCAAACACACAACACAACCAAACACACAACACAACCAAACACACGACACAACCAAACACACAACACAACCAAACACACGACACAACCAAACACACGACACAACCAAACACACGACACAACCAAACACACGACACAACCAAACAACCAAACACACAACACAACCAAACACACGACACAACCAAACACACGACACAACCAAACACACGACACAACCAAACACACGACACAACCAAACACACGACACAACCAAACACACAACACAACCAAACACACGACACAACCAAACACACGACACAACCAAACACACGACACAACCAAACACACAACTGTGGCTGCTAAGCCACTAATTAGATGTACAGGACATTTTGATAGTGTAACAGCACTGATAAATGAAGTCAGAGCACTGCACACGCCATTACAGAAGCTCAGGCAGTTTTAAAGATGGAAAGAGAACAAAATGAATGACTCAAAAAAGAGCAGCACTCACGTCTTCGTCCAAGTTGGTCTGCTCCAGATCTACTACTTTAAACTGCACCCGCTTAAAGATTTCCTCCAGAGATTCACATGATTTATAGTCCAGCTTCTCTCCTACAAATGATAAAAAAGGAGATATTACTTTCAACTTTTGCACTGATATGGTTCTTTACATTTTATATATATATATATATATATATATATATATATATATATATATATATATAACAACACAGATCAAAGCCAAACACACGGCTAATCTCATGGTTTTTCTGTTACTTTATATTATACTTTATTTACAATAAACCTGAATCATTTGAGGATCAGCTTGTCTATGGACACACACCCATTAACTACACAAACTAACAAGCATACAAACCAGTCTTAACATGCTGAACTCAACGGAGGGTGTGTGTATGCCAATGTATGAAGACATGTGACATACAGGGTTCCCACATCTTTTGATCAATTAATTTCCATGACATTCCCATGACTTTTTCCAGTTGTTCATAATTCATGATTTCATAGATATTTCATCCAAAAGTTTGGGTCCTGGAGATTTTCTTTAATGATTTTCTAAAGAAGTCTCTTCTGCTCTCCAAGTTACATTTATTTAATTAACAATACAGCAAAAACAGTAATATTGTGAAATACTATTACAGTTTAAAACCGATGTTTTCTATGTGAATATATTGTAAAGTGTCATTTAATCCTGTGATAAAAATTTTCAGCATCATTACTCTAGTCATCAGTGTCACATGATCCTTTAGAAATCACTTTAATATGCCGATTTGTTGCTGAAAAAACATTTCCGATTATTATCAATGTTGAAAAAAAAACTTTTTTTTATATACGTTTTTGACGTATACAAAGTTCAAAAGAACATGTATTTGAAATATCAATCTTTTAGAACAAAGTCTTTCCTGTCACTTTTGATCAATTTATTATATTTTTTTTATTATATTGTATAAATGCAGTAAGATTGAATGGTAGTGTATACAGTATATAGAGAGACTGAACATCTTTTAGCCAATTAAATATAATAAATAGGAGACAAACAAGAAAAACTCACATTCACTAGAGACATTCTCATGATTGATTACATTTCTATGACTATTCCAGGACTGGAAATCACAATTTCAAAATTCACTGAACTCTCGATGTCTGTCCGAACACTGAACATTGTGATAAAGCCCATTTTCAGCTCACCTTTGAGGTCTAGGCACTCGTTTCGCTGTGTCAGGTCTTTTAAGTCCTATGGACAAAAAAAGAAAAAAGAAAAAGTTTACTATTAAGAGATGAATGTTTAATTCTTATTGGATAGGTAAGGTGACCAGCCAAGATCATTAATGTAACGCTAGTTACAGAAAAGTGTGTGTGCAATGACAAGTGGTTTGATTTATTTATTTTTAAAATCCAAATGGATAGACAAGAATCAATAAACTGACTAATAGACTCAAGGTTAATTGAGGTCCTCATGAGGAAAACAGCTTATAAATCATACAGAATGAGTTTTTTTGAAAATGTAAAAATGCAGAAAGTTGTGTGTGATGGCTTGGTTTAGGGGTCGGGTTAGTGTAAGGAGAGAGAATACACAGTTTCTAAACACCGTTACATCTATGGAGAGTCCCCACAAAGATAGCGAACCAGACGTGTGTGTGTGTGTGTGTTCAGTAACATGTCTCGCACTGGAACTAGGGGACTAAGAGCTGAAAGTATGCCAGTATAAACGTTGAATTCATGCGTTTCAAGGCTGTGTAAACACTAGGATGTCTGTGCTGTGAAACACCAGGGGCAGCTGCCCTAAACCTGTTCTCTGATCAGCAATCTCTCCAAAGCATTCAGAGTCACCACCTGACATTTACCGCTGCCATGCAAACAGCATCTGACCCTGAGCTTTCTAATGTGACTTCAATGAGCCTTGTGTTTCTGCTGTTATACAAACCACCTGCGGTCATCTTTTCCTCCGCAATCAGACTCGGGTGGTGTGCACTTGAACTGGCGAGGAGGGAAACTGTATTAAAGAGGATCTATTATGCTTTTTTTCCCATGTTCATCTTTCTTTAGTGTTAAATTTTGCTGTTTGAGCATTTGAGCATCTGCAGCAAGAGTTCTTCTCTATATCAGTGTCAGTGTTTCTGAACTCCCTGAAACGCCTCCATTGTAGTCTTGAGTTTCTTCCGGGAACACGTCACAATATTCCTCATTATAATAATTCATACGCAGAATAAAGGGGCGGGGCCTGGTTGAGTTAGTTAGTAGTGTGTTAAACTGGTGGTTATGGGAAGGAGCGGGACATTTCCCAAACACACTCGAAGCGCTCGACCAATCACAACACACTGCTCCAGCCGACCAATCAGAGTACAGTGTGCTTTTCAGGAGGAGGGGCTTCATAGAGACAGGAACTAAACAGAGCGTTACTGACAGACTGGGAAGAGAGGAGCCGCAACAGTGGAGAATATGGGGAATTGATTTATTTTTTAATTCAAGAATGAAAACCTATTTAGTAGATCCCAAAACAATCAAGTGCATAATATGGCCTTAAAAAAAGAAGAAAATAATAATATATATATATATATATATATATATATATATGGCCACTTGCCATCTGTGGTAAACCGTCATAAATGGAGCATTAATCTTCTTAGTAGCTTTCTCTCTCTCTCTTTTCAGCGCTTTTCTTTTATAGGCCTGTTTATGAAGTCATTTTTCCAGGGGTGACTAAGCAATTAAGAGAGAGGAACACAAGCACAGACTGAGGTGGTGGAAAAACACATACGTACACACGCACTAAGTAATGACCGGCTATTTTCTGCCCTGGGGACTCCCAGTGGAAATTTACCACGATGCCCTCGGAAGGACTTAACAGACTGATGATGTCCTTCTGCACAACTACGGGTTATACATATTGCAGAAAAAATACATTGCAAGAAAAAAGTACACTTGCAGAGAAAAATGTAAAAGAAACAGATGGGAAACACAAAAGAACAGGAACGGAGAGAAATAGGGGAGGAGAGCGACAGCATGTGCTGGTTGGTGAGTGATTGTGGGTGTTAGCTGGCATCTCTGTGCAAACATCAGGCCACGATAACATGATCGCTCTCTTTCTGTCTGTTTTCAGTGACTCAGCTAGTAGCAGACGAGAGAAGCTGCTCACTCTCTCTCTATCCATCGATCTGTTTCAGCGGGCATGCACGTGTCCTCCTATCTCATCAAAACACCCTGCAGAGTCTCACCTGAAATCTTTCATGCATTTTTGAAGTCAGCATGAAATTAAAAATCACCCTGTCTATTTTCTCATCATGCATTCAGGTCCGTTTTGATATGCATGCCTATCGATGAACCATTGCAATGTGGAAAATGTACCATCTTTTCATCTCAAAGTGAAAGTTACGCAACGGTAGGTTTCATCAATTTGGACCATTTTTGGGCAACCATGAGTTATAATTTTAAATGAATTAAATTAAATTAATTGATTTCAATTGGGGTTGAAACTGGTAATTCTCAGATTGTATATTCTTAAAAATGTATTTAGATATATTAAAATACATTTTCTATTTTTCTTGCATCACAATGGTTTTTCTGTGTTCATGTAAAATTTGAAATTTCAACAATTTTTTTTTAACAAAAGAGCTAAAAGTAATAACATGGTTTTATTATCAAGTTTTAATTTTCTCCAACAACGGCCATAATTCGTTTTTCATGACCATTCATGACCATTTTTGTTGCTGCAGAGCCATTAAGACTTGTAGCAACGTCAAATTTGAACCTTTGAAAATCATAACATTAGTAATTACATGCATAATTGCTTATTGTTATAGGAAGTCTAGTAGTTAAACATTAACTGACAAAAAAACAGGCACAATCCTGTTGAGCTCTAACCAAACCATTATAACGCTACATGCAAATAACCCAGAATTTGACTGGGTCATCAGTGTGTCATCAGGACAGGGAGAAATGACCGTTTGTTGACTCAGTATGGTACGTTTACAACCCTGTGCCTATAAGAGGCTTTCAGTAAGCGAGCTGCAGCCAGAGGGAGTCAGGAGGCATGTGACTGGCCCGATGCCAGAGGTTAGTGAGGTTATATGTTTGTGATCAGAGTACAAATGTAATCCAGCGCAACGGGCCAACTGGGGACACAATAGAGATTATAAATGTGCACGATCAAGCTTCCCTTTCTTCAGTGAGGGTGTAATTTATGGGGAGTTTGGGCAAAAATGCAACCCAAAGGGGTAAAAAAAAAAGCACAATAAAAATGTAAATGAATTACAAGCCATGATGTGAAATTAAAAGTGTCAATTGCGGCATTACATCTAAATCTGCTCATGTTGCATCAACGACTTCTTTTAGCTATTTTTTTGCACATGTTTCACACGTTTCTGTTGAGTGTATGAATGCAATGGCCAATCAGAGCTGTTTAGATCACCAGCAATTGAGAAATCAGCTGAAAATGACAGTTTTGACACACTCACTGAGTTCTGCACTCTTGCGAACCCTCTCATCATAAACAACAAAGTGCAAACACGATGTAAACAAGAGATTAATTTTGAAGTGAAGACAGCTTCAGTGATTTAAACAGGAGTTTTTGCGAGAGTGCATAACTCTGTGACCTTGCACTAGACTAAAGTCTGCGGGCTTTCCGAGTTTGAATAACCTTTTATGATCCTAAAATACAAGACATAATAATGTTATGTTGTGCTTGATTTTCTAATGCATTAGAAAGAATATGACAAGCCATTTCCCCACACATACTATTATATTAATCAACATTAACAATCATTATTACAACATCAAAAGCAATATTCTGCAATAATGATGTCATAATATTGCAGTTCTGCCATGTAATGAATTCCTGTTTTATCATTTATATACTTTATGTAGGCGATTAACATTGTGCAATTGTTGTGTAAATGCATGTATGCCACCTTTGATCAGCATTAAACAGTCTGTGTAAATAAACATACCATGTCAGATGCAGCTTCTGTTCCACCTTTGCAGTATAAAGATGTCTTTTGTTCATGTTGATAAAATTGGTAACAATCAATAGTATTCTGACTGATTAAAGTAACTGGTTGAATAAATTGAACTATTTGACATAAAAACAACACAGATACATATAATATTGTAATCAAATATTGCAAAGCAAATATTGCCTCTTATTGGAAAAAAGTTACTTTCGGACCCAGGTGTGAATGCAATGCTTTATGACTTCGAAGAGGACTTGAACGAATGTTTAAGGAATTCCCAGCATGCTTTTGCAGAGGTGTTTACCTGTATCTGTTTGAGCACTTTGGGGATTGGTTTGCAGTTGAGCTTCTGGCATGCTTGTCTGTAGGCATTCAGAATCTCCTCCACCGTCACATTCTGGGCTGCAGAGACAAAACCACACGAAGACAAGGTCAAAGGTCACATACAGTGTATGCAACAGATCATCATTATCATCAAATGGAAAAATAAATAAAAACAGATGAAACTATTACTTCACAGCATTAAATTAAAGAGAGTAGGGCTGCTCTCATAATCATAAATCACCATTATTTTTGTCAATATTGAAATCACGATTATTGGTGGATGATATGATCTAAGTCTTAACTTTAAATGTAAGTGAAATGTATCTAATTTATCGATACTTCAGCAAAAACTAATACTAGGTTAATTAATGCAAGTAAAAAGTCCTCAAAACAGTTACAGAAGAGAGGACAAGTAAACAGTTAGCAATAAAATAAGAACAAAGAAAAAAAAAAAGAGGCAAAATACAACAGAACAGTAACAGAAATACAAATTAAATAAACAGTGCTTTAGGTTTTTCAGAGATAAGTAATAGCCTACACAACAGAAATTGAATAAAGGGCAACACTATTTTAGGGTTCAATTCTCGCTATTAATAGTTGCTTATTAGCACATATTAAAGCATATATTAATGCCTTATTCAGCATGACCTTATTCTACATCCCTTAATCTTACCAAATACCTAAACTTAAATGCAAACAAATAGAATGAATTGATAAGCAATAAATAAGGAGTTTGAGGCAAAAGTCATAGTTAATAGTAGGGTTGCACCGATACCATTTTTTCAGAACCAATCCGAAACAAAAAATTCTGAGTATCGACCGATACTAGTGCTGGTCCGAATACCATTTTTTGAGCTTCGAAGCTTCGGTAGTAATGAACATCGAATATTCGAAGCTTCGGAATCTCTATATGTCTGTCTGTCCGTTTGCATTTTGATTATTTCGAGAACCGTTCATCCAAACAACTTCACAAGGGAGTGCAGTGTCGTATTTGGTGCAATATACATAGACAGGCGAGACGCAACATGTTCTGAATTAATAAACTTTTAATAAACTACATGCCAGGTGTGCAAAAAAAAAGAAAGAATATTCGAATGTCACATTTTCAAATCGAATACCAATATTCGAATATCCGGGTCCAGCCCTAACCGATACCGATCCGATCCCAGCACAGTTTTTTTTATTAAGTACAATTTCTATAACTCTGTCTTGAACTGATAATCACTCTATTGTGTATTAATTAAACACAATCTACTTAATACAGACAACTTCATTATAAAGAAAAACAACAAATCAAAAAATATATGAAAAATATACAGCCGTTTACATTTACTTTCGTCGCATCATCCAAGTGGATGCTGCACACTGGTGGTGGTTGAGGAGAGAACCCCTGATATGATTGTAAAGCGCTTTGGGTGTACAGTAGTACATATGAAAGCGCTATATAAATGCCTCATTCATTCATAAATTTACTTTAGACATAACCGACTGTGTTGACGTCTCCTTCCGGGCTTATTGTGCTTTTAATAACTTCATAACTTCAATATTTCATATCAAGCACGTCCCGCAGTTTAGCAACAGTACGACTCGCTTGTTCGACTGATTTGGATGTTAAGTTTGACTTTGGGAGGAAAGAAAGCCCACCGCTGTGAAGGAAAGCAAAGTGCGCGGGACGCGATTTACCTCGATTATCTGGTTTTCATAATCGTGAGAAGCCAAGCTGAAATCAAGATACGATTAATCGCACAGTCCTACGAGAGAGCAAACAGATCTGTCCTCATTGAGTCTGGGAGATCAGTGTGTGTACACTGTGATTCCTGAGCGCTCTCAGAAGGGCCTTTGTGTAACACATGAACACACACACACACACAGAACCAAGCGGTCTAGACCTTCTAAGCGCTGTCTACAGTCATATGACTTCATACATTCATACTTATTGTTTTGAGGAGACACATTCGTACATGGGTCATTGACGGATAAGGTTTTTCAAAGTGTAAAAAATTAATGGAGATATTCATTTTGAAACCATTTTTTAGTTGTACTAAGTGTTAACAATGAGATTATGTGGTTTGTACAATGAATTAACACTGCTTATGTCTTTGTTTTTGTTTGTTTTTTACAAGATGAACAAAATTTGTCACCAAAAAAGTCATTCGGTTTAACCATGAATATTTCTAAAATTATTAATTTGCAGATAATTACCGAATGACCTTTTGACACTTCAAAATCTTTAAAATACCTTTATATGTAGTCAAATATATTTAAAACCTTTTGGATTCAAGTTGTACTACCTTAAATACTTTGGATGTCATCATATCTTTGCTTTTTATTATTATTATTATTAAGGCCTTTGGACAAAAAAAGGAGCCGTCACGCATTGACACACATACAGTTTGCGAGATGGCTTAAGCTAAAATATCAGGGCCCTACAGACAGTGTGAACATCCGCTTGCATTTTCCCTGCGGTGATACTACAGTGTTATTTGTTATGCAAATACATTAACCATAACAAAATTAGGCGACTGAAATCTTAAGGAAGCGCAAAAACCTGTTACATAACAACTGTTTTGGCACAAAACAACTTTAACATTGTAGGCAGATATCAGAGAAAAGAATAAAAAAAAAATTAAAACAAACGCTTAACACAACCCACTTAATATAAAAAAAAATATATATATATATATTTTAAGTAATTTACAGAGCAGACTCAATGTTTATCTATTTCGGGTCATAATTAGGAGACAACGGACGTTCATATGCTTGCGTGGCGCACAAAAACAACATGAGAGAGTAAAATTTTTGGATGAACTAATCATTTACAGTTCGGGAATCGTCAATATGTGAAAAAAGTGAAAGCACAAACATCAATTAAATCACCATATCACATTTAGTTTTAGTAGTATGATAATTTAAAGCGCTTAGATGGTTTATTCTTATATGTATAGTGCATTAATAGCGGGAGAGACGGGACATAGCGAGCACCGGGAGAGTGTACACGCGTGGCTTTGTCTGGGCAGATCCAAGCGTGAAAGCGTGAGGACAAAATTAAAGTAAAAGGACTTGTGACTGACAATACTACATCCAACTACTATATATAATGTTGAATATAATGTATAATAATGCAATGAAGGAATATTTGTGGGTCCTGATAATAATAAAATAATACATTTTAAAATTTAATTTTAAAACAATAAAAAAGTGTTTTATTTTGGCTTAAAATATCACAATAGTATCGTATGGTGAGCTCAGTATTGCGATTTGTATCGAGCAGCGCATTAGTTTAGAACGGCGATTAATTTGCATGTATAATAAGCTGTTTAAAACGTGCATTCACCCGATAAATTGAGCATCGATGGTATAATCGAACATGCTGTATCTTGTGGAGCGCACTCCTTGCCACTTTTTGGAAACGGAGCGTAAAAGTGAACTTTAAAGGGTTAGTTCACCCAAAAATGAAAATGATGTCATTAATGACTCTCCCTCATGTCGTTCTAAGCCCTGTGTCCGGTATACTGTCCTTGTCCAGAAAGGAAATAAAGACATCATCAAAGTAGTCCATGTGACATCAGTGGGTTAGTTAGAATGTTTTGAAGCATCGAAAATACATTTTGGTCCAAAAATAACAAAAACTAGGACTTTATTCAGCATTGTATTGTCTTCCGGTTCTGTTGTGGATCCGCGTTCAGTGCCGCCGCTGACGTAAGACGCTGCTGACGTGTGTGTGTGTGTGTGTGTGTGTGTGTGTGTGTGTGTGTGTGTGTGTATTGTGGTTCTGTTGTGGATCCGCGTTCAGTGCCGCCGCTGATGTAAGACGCTGCTGACGTGTGTGTGTGTGTGTGTGTGTGTGTATTGTGGTTCTGTTGTGGATCCGCGTTCAGTGACGCCGCTGACGTAAGACGCTGCTGACGTGTGTCTGGTGTGTGTGTGTGTGTGTGTGTGTCTGGTGCGCCCGTGTATTCGGGTTCAAATAAATATGGCTGGGCAAAAAAATGCAAGTCTTCCTCTGTGTGGAAATCCTTAGACATGTTTGCGAAGATGTTTAGTTTCCAGCGTGCGTCTCCCTCAGACTGTAAACGAAGCTCGGGCGCACCAGACACACGTCAGCAGCGTCTTACGTCACACACACACACACACACCAGACACACGTCAGCAGCGTCTTACGTCACACACACACACACACCAGACACACGTCAGCAGCGGCACTGAACGCGGATCCACAACAGAACCAGAATACACACACACACACACACACCAGACACACGTCAGCAGCGTCTTACGTCAGCAGCGGCACTGAACGCGGATCCACAACAGAGCCGGAATACACACACACACACACACACACACGTCAGCAGCGTCTTACGTCAGCAGCGTCACTGAACGCGGATCCACAACAGAACCAGAATACACACACACACACACACACCAGACACACGTCAGCAGCGTCTTACGTCAGCAGCGTCACTGAACGCGGATCCACAACAGAACCAGAATACACACACACACACACACACACACACACCAGACACACGTCAGCAGCGTCTTACGTCAGCAGCGGCACTGAACGCGGATCCACAACAGAACCAGAATACACACACACACACACACACACACACCAGACACACGTCAGCAGCGTCTTACGTCAGCAGCGGCACTGAACGCGGATCCACAACAGAGCCGGAATACACACACACACACACACACACACGTCAGCAGCATCTTACGTCAGCAGCGTCACTGAACGCGGATCCACAACAGAACCAGAATACACACACACACACACACACACACACCAGACACACGTCAGCAGCGTCTTACGTCAGCAGCGGCACTGAACGCGGATCCACAACAGAACCACAATACACACACACACACACACACACACACACCACACACACGTCAGCAGCGTCTTACGTCAGCGGCGTCACTGAACGCGGATCCACAACAGAACCAGAATACACACACACACACACACACACACACACACACACACACACACACACACCACACACACGTCAGCAGCGTCTTACGTCAGCGGCGGCACTGAACGCGGATCCACAACAGAACCGGAATACACACAC